CTGGTTACTTTTAAATCAGACCCTACTTAGGGATGCATTTGGCTAACCCTTGAGAGATGGCTTTGCCTTTGAGAAATGAATTTATGTCTGATAAAAATTTGCCCAAAAATCCATCCAGTGTTTTTACTGTGAAAGCGTCTGAAAATCAAAACTCCTTTCTTCACTTTTTGTTTCAGAGCCTTGTCTTTTCTTGGAGATATTCAAGTTAGTGTTTATATGATCTTTGTTGTTTTCCACTATTGCAGGCTAGGACGAATAATTTTACATTTTAAACACTGTTTGTTTGTTTTCTTTCTCTCTGCATGGCATCATTCTGTATTAGATCTTGTTATGTCCTGGAATAGCATCTAAAGAAATGCTATGAGGTATTTGAATGACGTAAGTGACAGTTTTGGCCTTATGTCTCATTATCTGAAAGACAGCATCTCCAGCATAACAGACATATCTCATCCTGCCAAGGCCCAATGTCGAACATAATGTGTGAAAGAGACTCAAAATGAGGAGAATGGATCTCATTCTTGCTTAAAATGCGATGAATTTTAGTCCTTTAGGGTGAATGACTGTATTTATAATTCCAGTTGTAAGGATAATCAATAATTTCAAGTGACTGAAGTGACAGGGCAGTACATTAGTGTGAAAAGTGAGTCATTTGGGGAATAAAAATGAGTGAGATCACTCAGAATGAGGTACACGAGCCCATAGCCTGAGTTACTGGTTCAATATCCAGGTGGTAGAGTGCAAGGGCTTCTTTCATGCATGTCCTATGGCAGAGATGCTAGAAAATGTGATTGAAAGCTTTGAAACCGTTTAGATGTGACTGGAGAGGAGACTGTAGAAACTCTGGTGTCCTGCTTTCACCGTCTGGCCTGTCAGCAATATCTTCCAGAGCTGGAGACCTTGAAACTGTGGGGTGCCCAGGTGAGGGGCAGCTGTGTGTTTTGTGAAACCTGGTGCCGAGGACTCGAGGGTCTTTGTGGTCACCCCACCACAAGATCCTGCTGGCTGTGGGATCCCCAGCCCCAGCGCAGATGCATGAGGAGGCAGGTGTGTTAGTGCCTGAAAGCTGAGCAGTAAGACTCACATTCTGCTCTTAGGGCTAAGAATATCCATTTGTCTCAACAGATGCAGGGGCTGGAGGCTTGTGGAGGTGGTTTCGTTTTGCTGTAGGGTTTCAAAAATATATCATAATTCACATTTGGTTCAAATTTGGTAGTAAAATTTAACTTTGAACCTTTCTTATTGAACAGATCTTTGTAGTGTCACTTTTTACAAAGACACGAATTCTAATTTAAGAGAGCCCTGATATGTCCTACAATGTCTGGTGAGGTCACAGAGGGAGAGTGGATGTGGGTTATTGATTTCTGGACCTAAAGAACATTCAATAATTATTATCAGTAGTTAACAGATCACAAAACACCTGCTGATTAACTTCCTTATCTGAAAGCCGTTCCTTTTCATACTGTAAATGATATCTAGCGCTCCCTGAAGAGGTCTATAGTTTATAGATTTTATAAGTGAATGAGAGAATGAATGCATTATTTTCTTGCCTTTTTGTGATGCTGTTAAGTTATTCACAGAATGTTCTATTTTAATATAATTTATGCTTTTACCAGAATTTTAACATTTCACTGTAGAAGAAAAAAATGAGGCTTTTATCATTCATATTGAAAAAAGCTTAAGCCTTAATCCACTCAGAGTCAGTAACTGTTATTTGATCTTAAAGGATGGTACTCATAAACTATAGAAAGGCAAAGGCTAAAACTTTCTTTATGGTATAAATGTTACAGTGCATCTCATATTTATCGAAGGGACCATCATTATGCAGAGCCATTATAGCAGATATTCGTGGCACTGTATCAAGCAGCATCTCTGAATTTCATATTAACTCTATGAGCCTGAATGAAGTACCTGTATCTTTCCATTATATTCCACTTTTCCTCCTGTTTAAATCAGCTCCCTCTGGAAAACTGTGTTGGTGCATAAATATGTACAGCTGCAGCAAAGGAATTAATGAAGACCATAATCATGGAAAGGAGTCTGTGTAGGGTCAGGTTGAGTAATCAGAAAGCGTACGTGTTTTTTCTATGATTTTTCATAGTGCATTGTGTACCATCCTCTGTCCGTACGTTTGATATATAAGCAATGTTCCAGGTACTTTTAAACTCATTTTTAAGAAAGTATAGGTTAAGGTTTAGTCCTTATTCAAAAGGATGCTTCACGTTTTTTCTACTGATTATTAGTGTGAAGCGGTTACAAAGCTGACAAAACAGAGAAAGTAGAGATTTCTCATAGGTTTAGGAATCCCCACTTTTTGCGATGCTGTTTATCAGTCAGAAGAGCTGAATTAATAAATATAAACAAATGACATTTGTATATTGACATTTTCTTAAAAGTCTTATTCTCATGTGGGTACCCAGGGAACTGAGTCAAAGGCAGGCAAATGGAGAAGGGAATATAAGCTCTTTAAGGTAGCTCCTTTATTGAATCAACCTCGTAACACTGTAAAACTTCCATAAACAAAGTCCAGGGAAGGGAGTGCACAGTTGTAGATTAACTGTTAATTTTTACCAGATGTTTTAAAATGTTCTAAAATTTCTATATCCTCATTTTCCTCAGATGTATTTCTTGATGCTCAGTGGTGTCACTGCACTGGGGTAAGGGTTTATTAACCGAATTAGAACAAATTCAAACATTTGAAGCTTGGAAGGAGGTGTTACTGACAGCGGCTAAAATATATTTAGGCACCCTTTAAAAAATTGTCACATAAGGATTTTCACAGAGGTGGAAACAGTTCCTGCTACAGGACTGCAGTTACCTCTTCCAACTGCTACTAATTGACACTTGTAGTGTTTACATGCTGTCTGGGGGAAAAAAGGTGTTTTTTTTTCTTTTCTTTTTTTTTTTTTTTTTAAAGGAATGTAAGAAAACATCTATTCCCTGCTGTTGGGTAAAACAAGCTATATAATTTCAGACAATTATTAATATTCTCTCCAAAATGTGCTGTTATTTCAGTCATAAAGTTACATGCTCTTCTGATTTTATTCCTAATTTTTGGCATTGCATTAGGGGAGAGAGGGTGACTCAGAAATCAGTGCCTCACTTGGCCTGCCCACCCTTTCCCAAATGGCCAGCTGGCTTGAACTCACCAAGTGTTAATAAAAGAATAAGATTATGGTACACAAGACCTGGAAAACTAAATATTTGCTCTTATTTTAGGCAAGGCATTAGGTGAAGAATTTGTAAATGTTCATCTAGAAATGAAACATTGCAGCTTGTCTGAATGGCACCCTCCACAACCAGGCCTTGGCGTTACGTGTCTCAGAGAATTGCTTGTCCTTTGGAGAAGCTATTCCCACTACTGAATGTTAAACTGAAAACAAACAAACAAATCAATTCCCCATGCAGCTGAGCTATCAGGTTTTCTATTACCTGTTTTACAGTGCTGTTTAATTTTTCTGTCATTATATAAATTATAAATGCAATGAGAGAGAACGTCTTTGCTCTTGCTGCAGGCAGTGTTTGGGTATGGCACGCTTGCTGTCTAAATCCCGATGCGACTGCTGGGCTGGATGTGGTGCAACCCAGCTCTCTTTCCTCAGAAACATCTTTGAAGGCACAGCGAGAAACAGCGTGCTTCTCTCTGGTGCGCTTGCCCAGGAGCTGCTCTCCAAGCACTAGGTGCTGTCTGGTTTAACAGGCTGAAAACAGCAAGCAGCCTCCCACAGCCCAGGCACATTTGGTGGTGCGATGTATGGCAGTACCTGTACACACCTTTGCACGCACACAGGCACGTGTGCCCTCAGTTTAGCGCATGCAGAGGGAAGGAAGGAAGGAGCCTGCTGTTGTAAGAGGAGGGAGGTGCAGCTGTCATGCAAAGCGACGGGCTGAGCACCGCTTTCAGCAGCACGGGGCTGCGGTGGGAGCTGGGTAATGAAGCGTGACAGGTAAGGGAGGAAGAAATCACAGCACTCAGCAGACAGACCATTTAAAATGGTAATACAGTCAGTCGTCATCTCATCTCAGCCCTGACACTCCTCAGCACTTGCCTGTGCCAGTCATTCTGTGCAGATTGTCAGGTGGGTATAAAAACAAGCACGACTGGCACATAAATACGAGAATCTGAGTAAATATTCTCTCTCCTGCTGGAATCAGAGACAAGCATGACTGACAGGGACTCACTGATACTGATGATCGAGTTTTTATTCTGTGACTGCACTCTGTAGTTTTTCCTTGTCATGCCCTGCATTTCAGATTACTTATATAGGTCTCTGGTAAGCTTCCCAAATCATATCGGTGCTTAAGAATATAATTTTAACTCACTGTATTACATCAGATAGCTCTCTGAATGATTTCTCTGCAGCAATTTCAGGGATAAACCTTTGTGGTTTAATGATGAAAGTGCATTGACTAGGATTTAATAGATCAGCTATTAATATATCAAGTAGCCTGAATTGCTGCTTTCATAATTTTTCTGCTTAAACCTTCTATAGCTAGGATTAGATGGGAAAACAATCACATAAAGAATTTGTTTTAATTTCAAACCTATATACTCAAAAGTAATCCAAGTCTGTTATGTCTTCATGTACCTGCTATTAACAGAAGTGATGCCTCAGGGCCTAATCACAATCTGTTGAGTAGATGCTATTTTGTCAGAAGTAAAATATGCAATATTTTTCTGTTGTAGGGATAAGAAGCTGGTTCCATGATAGAGAGAGATTTTTTTTTCCTGTGTCTGGAGACACAGACACAATTGTCAGTATCCTACATCTCTGTTGCAGGGCAAATCAGACTACCTTAGTCTCAACAGCTTCACTGATTTTGGCAGGTTTTGGACCAGGCTTATTACTATTCTATTTCTTATTTAGAAATCAGAAATACTGATAGTTGTCTACAAAAGAAGAGCTAGGAGAATTTTTGCTTTTTTTTTTTTTTTTTTTTTTTTAATTTCAAACATGACCTGGAAATATTTTGAAAACAACTGTCTCCTGATGTTGCTGCAGGTACTGTCTTGGCTCAGCTGGAAATGAGCAGTAAGAACCACACTTCTTATCTTCAAAAGTGATTCCACTGAAGCTCAGCTCTGAGAACAGGTGGAGAATCCTGTAGGCTCATATTTTTCCCAAACCAGTTTGTACCTAGTCTTACTTCTTTTAGAGGTAGACTAGAGAGAAATACTTGAATTGTACAAACCTGAATTTTGTATATATTTGATCAAGGTGTCACAAAGTTCACCAGATCAATGTTTATAAACTGTGTTTGTTCACAATCCTTTATGGGCATTTAAACACAATCTCTTTTTCACCATTTGAAGTTTGGTTTGGGGGCTCTGTGGTTAATGCCACATAGGAATTATTTATATGTAAAATCTGGAATCGTGATTAAAAGTAGTACATTTTACAGTGCTTTTATAGTCTATACAGCTGAAGACATTTAAAAAAAAAACCACACTCTTCACATGGCCATGATAGAGAATGTAATACATATATAACTTGACATTTTGAGAGGCAAGAACCTACCTATAGTTACTGACATACAGTCTTCAATTGTGTTGCTGTTGGTATACAATCTGTGCATCTTCTGTTTTCATGTCTGAATTTATACACTTGTGGTATCTCCTTTCACTCAATAGAAGTCCAGTATCTTTTTCAGTAAGTTTTAATAGTCTTTGGACAAACTTCCAAATTATTCCCTTATTAAATTTATCTTACAAATCTCACTATTAGGCTCATCCATCTTGCAATTGGAGATTTCTCCGATTGCATGAATAGTTCCTACTGGATACTGTATTGCATGGAATATTTTGGCTGATTATGGAAATGACACTTCAGAGCTAGCTGGAAGTGCTAACATTTTATTAAGGATTTTTTTTGTATCTGTGAGTAAAGCTGGTTTACTGTATTTAGTACTATTAAAAACAAACAAACAATTCTTCCACCCCTGAGTATTTTTATTGCCCTAGAGACCCTTTAATGGAGATAAAAAAGAATGGTTTTTATTTTTTCTCTCTGCTTGCTGAAAGAAGCAGTAGGAGAATTGTATTATTTCAGGCTGATATGACTCGGTATGAATTAGCATTTGAACTGTTTCATATTTACATATTTAGTTTATACAACAGTTACTCAGCCTATATTTTGAAGGAAGAAAATAGGTAAATGATGTTAAAGTCATTTCCATGTTTGAAGAATTGTGCCTCAGTTTGTGAAACAAAATTCTCTCTCTCCTTTTAGTGGAAATGGCCTTTTTGTGAATGGGTATCCTGCTGAATGAAAACCAAACATCTTTCAAACATTGTGCCATAAGACATTTTGTACTTCCTCTACACAGCATGCATTTGCCCTGATTACAGCCTATTAAAGGCAAAGAGGAAAGGACTTTTCAGTTGCTTTGTTGACTTTTATATTAAGAGGGATTTTCAACTTTGCTTTCTCACTCTGCATAAGTTGTTGTAATTTCAGGTCTGATGTCTGTTTCACTGATGCTCGTTATTTGGTATGACACTCTCAAATAAAAGATTTGTAAAAATGTTGTATTTAATTTCACAATCTAATAGTCACTTCATTACCTCTTATGAGGTTCTAGGCATTTGTCCCTTTCTTCTCCTGTGGTTTCATCTAAAAAGGAATGGCAAACTTCTTAACACGTTTTAGGCATTGTGTTAAACTCTCTAGCCCGTTCACTAAGGTATGAATAACTACTTGAATACTGACATAGCATTTTGTTATGATATCACTTAGCTGAACAGTTAATGGAGTTTGGTATCTTGAAGGATTTTGCATCGTGGAAGCTATTACTTGAAGCCAATTTTAGCTTTCTTGTTCTTTTCAGCTCTTTTTACTTATTTTATTAATTTGCATATTGTTATAGACAGTTTAGTAATTGTCTAAGTTGGATGCATAGTGTAAGTTTTTCTGTAGCCAATTCACTAAATCCTTGTAACAGATTGTGTAAGTGTCACTTTTCTCTAGCATTCTGAATACATTACTTGCCTTTTAACATTCTTGCAGCCACCCTGTTCCAAAACTGCACTCCTCACCCAAAGATTTCTGTAATGCTACAGCACCAATCTTCCTCAGCTCTGCACTTCTTTTCTCCTGCCCTCCACACCTACTCACCCCATTTCTCCCAAACAGGACACGTCTTTTCTGCCCCTCATTTTTCTCTGTTCCTTAACTGAATATTCTGCTTCTCCTTTCCACTTCCAAACCTCCCCCTCTTCAAGGAGGAAAATGTAATTTAGGTGTAATAGCAAACTTTTAAAAAAAAAAAAAAAAAAAAAAAAAGAGCCTCATTTGATTTCTTCTTGTTCAGTCAAAGCAAACGAGAAAGCATACTGTCAGAGGTCATGAAAATATAGTTTTTACTTCATTTTCACTGTAACATTGCATTTCACCTCATTTAGCCTAGACAAACTCTAGATTTCTCCTGAACTTAATATAATTGCTGAGAATTAAATGATTTTGTTTGATAATTCCACCATCTAGTGAAATAAATCTTGTGATTAATTTGGGAAGTGAACAAAGTGGCGCTTGTGCTCCATCTGCTCTGGCTAGAGAAAAACTCCCTGTATAATATATGTTATAGTTCAAGACCAGATTTTTCTATCAGTGTGGTCACCTTCTCTTGAATTTATGGAGATTGCATCAGCTTTTTATTTGCACTATACGAGTGTCATGTTTTCCTGGTTTCTGTACTGCATCCTGAAGATAAGCCATCCTAATACAAATCAATCCACGTGCATTACAGACTCACCATCAGCAGGTTCCTACCAAAAATAAATAAATAAATCCACCATAATGCTCCACAAGCAGCAAGCTCCTGTCTGAAAATTTCCACCCTGACTCTGAGAGACAACCAAGAGACAGCCAAATCAGACCAATGACTGAGGCAAAGATGAAAGTGGGTGTACAGTGCAATTCTGTTGAGATGAGTTAAATCAGAGTTGGGCAAGTTTGAAACTTTCTAAATGTATACATGACTATTTGGCTTGGCATTTCATTGACTAATTATTGTAGAGAAAATTATAGTAGAGAAAAATTTCAAAGATGCAGAAGCATATTGTGAGATAAATTGGCAGTGCCTGTGTTAGTGAACAACATCCGATCCATTTGCTTCCAGATTGATTCAGGAACTGAAAGACAGACACAAATTTAGGATAGGGTTGATGACCTCCAAATCTTTACCCCACAGACACTCACCTGCAAGCAGCCAGGAAGTCTAGTTTTGTATTATGTCAACTTTTCATACTTTATGGGGATGCCCCATTTTCCAAAGCTTGTGGTTTAATTCTTGGGGAGGTGTTTTGTTATGCTTTGTGGCCTTTCAGTCTTCCATTGCATACATTTCTGAGCTCACCCCTCTGCTGCAGTTAGTGATTAATCTGATGTTTTCTACTAATGGCTCATTCAATCCATCTTCACCCAGGTGGCATCTTTAGACTGGGCCAGCTTTGTTTTGGGGATAATTCTTTGTTTTCACAGGGCCTGGGTTTTTAATGTATGCATTTCTGCACATGTTCCCAGAGGCAAGTCTCTAGAAGAATGTCTTTCTTTTGAAAGATGGAGGCTGGCAAAATTAGAGGCAGTTCTTGGGTCTCGTAGAAGTTAATTTCTTGTCCTCAGGCTGGCAGAAGATAAGTCACGTGCAGGTAGGCTTTATTCCTATGGTTAAGGTGTGCCCTTGTACTCCAGGAATGGAGCTGTCAGCTGTAGTCCTCATATTTTCTGCAAACATGAAAAAATACCTTTTACCAGCCCACTTCTTTCAAAGGAGGGGAAAATGAAATCAATGTTAAGATGTCTAGGGTCTTGAGAGCCATCATCAACTGGGGTGCTGCTGAGAGTCAAAAAGTTATTAAGAGCCCAAGCTAGTTCCCATTGCCAGTCTGACTTTTGACTTCAATATGGCTTGAAAGAATTCCTTAGAAAATAAAGCAGCTTTGCAGCTGATGGGTAAGCTACATGGCAAGTAGAGAAGATTACTGTAATATTTTAAATAAACTGTTTTCTATCTATCCTCAATAGCTGTAATTAACCTGTGTGAAGCCAGTGCTATGTATTATGAAAGAATGAAAAGTATCTGTGCTGTTTGTAGAAGAGGCAAGTTATGTATTTTGCAGGCAGTGTAGCATTTTAAAGTATAGACTTTTAAGGCTTTCATTCTAAATGACAGTGGTATGATCTGTAACTGCAATATACTGCTGGAAACCATCTTTACCATACTCTGTATTACCTTTGGGGATGTTTGTTCCTCAGTGGGATCTGAAAGAATAATTCAGACAAGTTTCATTTATTGTTCCTTCACCACAATAATATGCTTAGCTAACAGGTTAACAAGCATGCCCTTCTCCTTTTCTTTTTTATATGGAGTGATTTAACAGGTCCTAGAAAGTACCTTCCAAATCTTCCAGTACTCTCCAGATCTTGCAGTAATAATAATGTTCCCTTTCTATTTTCTGTCTTTTTTTTCCTCTACTACTTTACTGTCACACTCAGCCCTTTTTATAACTCATGGCAGGACGCTGCCTTCAATCCAGTCCCTCCAGCAATCATATTATGTGGGTTTGATTTTGTGTTATACATATAATATATTAAACAAGAATCTTAGCAGGAACGAATCATTCTAACTTCACTGGTGCTTAAGTTCTGAAACAGAATGTGTGTAAATGTTGAAATTACTTTCCACTATCTACAGATGGAAATGTTGGAATTACAGGCCTCTTAATTTATATGGTATCTGAAGAAGATATAAAGGGAAGGTAGATGTAACAGTAATGTAGAAAACTCAATAGGTTTTTCCCTTCTGGTTTTATTAGAAAGCTCTTTTGAAAATAAGTTTTTAGATAAGTTATTTTATATACAGTTTTAGATAAATGTGTGAAAGTTAAAAGGTACTACCCATACTTCTATAAAGTTCTGGACAATAATGAAATACACAATGTCTTGCTGGTGGTGTTAAGTTTTTGATTTGATACTCTGTCTTAGCAGAAATCAAGATACAATCTGATGTGCAAGAAGTACTTTTTTTTTTTTCTGATTTTTTATCCCTCTGCTTATGAAATTAACTCTCTGAGATCCCCAAATATATTCATAAAATCTGTACACATGTAATGCCAAGATGTATATTCATTCATTTACTGTGTGTCTCAGGAGTGTGAGAGTGCCACTAGAAGCAGCCAGGTAACTGTAAGTGACTTTTTTATTATTATTATTTATTTAAACTAGTAAACATCTCTAGTTTCTACTTCTTCATGTTAATGCAGTTGAGCTATATTTTATTTTTGAATTGCAGCAACAGTGAAAAGACAAGGACAATCTAAAGTAGTGCAACCTGTCTGGTTATTTATTTATTTATTTAATTGTAAAAGATTGTGTTTTGTTGTTGTTTTTTAAAGTTAAAAGATTCCGTTTATGAGTTCAGTCATCCACTCAGGGACGAAAATCAATAGGTCTTAAAGGGCCACTCACACACCATGATCCACAAACATCAAATATCAAGAACAAATAGTAAACAGTAATTATAACTAACTCTTTAAGTAAACTAATAGTGAATACTAATAGTATATGCATTCAAATAAAATTGTGTTGTAGTATTTGCATAATCTTTTACATACAGGCAGGCCTCAGTGATTACTCTGAACACCATGTGAAATCCAGTATTCCATGGAAACTGAACCTCAATTCTGACATTGCTTTTAAATTTTCAATGTATATACTAAATGCTTTAAACAGAATTTCTAATATTATAATGCAGTAATAGCTTTGTCACTGTGGATTTTCTAGGCTTGGCATTTTTTTCTTTAAATAAATCTTTCTAAATGTTGCTGATGTGTCAGGCTATATAACTTTAACTCCAAGGGCCAAGTATCTGACTTTAGGCTCTGGTGCAAGAGTTTCCAAGGTATGACCAATGGTTCTACTTTACCAAGCCTCTGGTCATGATGTGACTTGCTTCCTCCACTCATAACTATGGAGAACAAAGAATTGGGAGGTGGTGGTGGTGAAGGTCATGGAGGTGGAGGGTGGATGGGCTGGTCTCACTCAGGATGGTGGAAAGCACTATAAGGTCCCTGTCAACCTCAGGATTATGTCTCAGCATATCAGGTTTAACTATTCTGTGCCTGGACAGCTCTGCCTTTCTCTGCACTCCAGAGGGCTATTGACCTCCTTTTAACTCCAGCCTTTCACGTGGAAGTGCAAAAACTACTGCAGTAAGATTTTTTCATTGTACAGCAAAAAATCCAAACCCTCAGCTGTCCTGCCTGATGGGATGTAGTCTAGATGAAACTATTAGAAGGTAAATGCAAAACTCATTGATTAACTGTACTCAAAGGGATCAGCAGTTCACTGCCGAAACATACGTACATACATACATATATGTATATATATATGTGTATATATCCATATATCTTCAGTGCATTCTATGAGGTTTGTGTTTAGGACCATAAGAAAGACATAAATAGTGGAAAATACAATGTGCCTGCTAGGGGTATAAACAGAGGACAGGACTTGAATTTGAAATATTCTTGGAAAATTGTAAAACAAAGATTTGATGATACTGGCTTAATGTAAAACAGATAAATTCAATCTTGCATTTAAGCAGTGGTAATCAACTGCAAAAGTTCTTTTTGGAGAACTAGTAAAAAGTTTGTGGGACAGGACATGGAGATTACAACTACCATAGTCTGACTATAAGCTAGAAGCATCGTGCCATTGCAATAAGCAACACATGTAGCCAAAGGGATGCCTGTGACATGAAAGAAGAGGTTTGTTTGTTTGTTTGTTTATATATTCAGTTTGGTGAGACATCATTAAGAGTGGAGCCTCCACAGTATGAGGCAGCACACCAAAGAGAGAATAAACAATAATCAGCATGTGCACAGAGTGAAAGAGATGGAGTGATTTAACCAAGGGGGGTAAAAAAAAAACAAAAAACAACAACAAAAAAACCACACACAAGATGAGTGTTTTGAGCATGCAAAAGACAGAGAGCAACAGAATGGACTAGATAGCCTCCTGAGGTCCCTGTTAGCTCTATTTGTCATAGTTCTGGACAAGCATCTCTGCAGGAGATCTTTGCTATTTGCAGTTTTAGAGTATCAGTAGAATTATATGTTTTTCTTTTAATAGCACGTGCATATGTT